CTTGGCTTCCTCTGCGTGCGTAAAGAGAGCTTGTCTCCTCACCTTGGCCTTCGGTCACCACCTACTCTACCTCCATTCAGCTTCCTCAGCCTCAGTCAGAAGAGTTGCCTCTCCTCACCTTGGCCTTCGGTCGCCACCTACTCCTCCTCCATTCAGCTTCCTCAGCCTCAGTCAGGAGAGTTGCCTCTCCTCACCTTGGCTTTCGGTCGCCTCCTACCTTCTCTCCTTACCTTGAGCTCAGCTCAAGCTCGGTACGGGCTCGCCCCGTCTTCTTCCTCGGCGCCCTCGCCTTGCTCTTCCTCCATGTCTTCCTCTTCTTCGTCATCTTCCCTCATCTCCACTCGCAGTCGGTCCTTCTTGTCCACCTTCAGCGAGCAGGCCAGCACATGCATCTCTGCGAATTTACTCAGTGCTATGAACAGGAAGCTAAGAGATCGACGCTCTATGTCGTCGCTCTCCGCCTCCTGCTCAAGCTCAGCAGCTGCCGTTGCCCGTGGCGAGAACGCGCTGCCCCTCCTTGCCTTCTTGTTCTCTCCTTGCACGCGAGTCCAGCGCTTGCTCTGCAGCCACTTCCCCAGCTTCTCCTTGAGAACGTTGCGCCCAACTCCCTGCTCCTCTGGCATCTTCGCCCACTCTCCCAGCGACATGAACTCCAGGCTCCCCGGAGAGTAGAAGGTGTCGTGGAGGTTGCCGACGGCCTTGTCCAGGACCAGCTTGATCGGCTCGCTCGTCCCTGCCTCGTTCAAAGAAGCTGCATCTTCGATGACTGCTGACAGCTCGCTGACGAGCTGCATGTCCTCTTGGCTTGACGGAGATGCTGCCTCCATTGTGATCCTCTCCAGGTCTGTAAACTCCAGCCACTCTCCCTCGCTCTCCTCCTGTCGCTGCGCTGCGTCGCTGGTGCCCCGCTGACCAGCCGCCTCAGAGTCAGGCTCCTTGTCGAAGCCGACTGCTTCGAGCTTGGTTGCTGCGCCTTCGAGATAGAAGGGCAGCTCCTTCATCATGCGTCGAGCATCCTCCGTGGAGCCGAGGAGGATGCATAGCTTGGACCCGTTCCAGGACTTGGTGTTCAAATCCTCCTCCATGTCGATGCCTTCAACGTTGATCTCGAGCCTGTTAGCGATCTCCAACAAGACTCTCTTGACTCTTGCGATGGACGTGTTGCCGCCGTTGCACAGCCCCTCCATCTCCTTCCTCGTGAAGCGACCAGATGCCGCCGTCGACTTGATGATGATCTTGATCTCCTTGCCGTCCTTGCCGCCTGCCTTCTTCTGCATCCTTGATGCCTTCTTCAACTTATTTCTGGACACAAAGCGATCAGCTGTCAACTCGACTGCGAGCGCCTCTCTGATCTTCGGGTCCTCGCTGAACAGAGTCAGGTGTACTCCCTCCATCGCTTCGCTCTCTCGGAAAGCTCGAAATGCTGTATCATTCGCCTCTGGGCAGCTCGAGGAGACGATCCACTCCACCTCCCTCTGTCTCCAGATGACTTGGGCCCCTACAGCGATGAAGCCTTTCTGACCTAAGCCTTTGTGGACTTGCTGTCCTGGCGCCCCAGCGACCAGCATGCCTGCCAGCGGCTGGAGTTGGACCGCTGCAAGGGACTGGCGCAGCAGCTGATAGCGATAGACGGCAGCTATCTCAGCCGTTGTCATGCCGCCCAAGGTTAGCAGGTGAGTCAGCTCTGCCAAGCTGCCCCCTTTGCCCCAGGGTCCTCTCTTGGCTCGAATCTTGAAAGATCGATCGTGCACGATGCTCACATGTACAGCTGTGAACTTGCGACCATCGATCGCGAAGTCCTCTCTTCCTGCCAGAGCTTCTCCGCTTGTGCATTGCGGAGGAAGGAAACAGTCACCGGGATCTCCTCAGCACTCGCTATCTCGGGTCTATACGGAGCCTTCCACATGATCGCTTTACTCTCTTGCACTGAGTCTACGATCAGTCCGATCTCTTCAAATTTCTTCTTCAGCTTTTCTTCATGGTTGACATACACCGAGGAGATGCCCAGGAGAGTCATGGAGATGAAGGAAGTCACCTCGTTGCCTGCTGAGGCGGTGTATGTCTCGACCTTCTCCTTCTTGGCTTCTTCAATCTGCTGCATAAACCATTCTCTGGATGCGTCACTCCATCCAGTCATCGCTTCTTGCAGAAGCTCACGTCGTGCCTGCTGACATGTCGAGCGGATGGCTTCTGCGATAGCGTCGGGGGTGCATCCCTCCACAGCCTTGCAAGCCTGGGCTGTCCTGCTGTTCGGATAACGCTTCGCGAAGCTCTTCACCCTCTCGACGAGATCAGCTTCGAGGACAGAGGCATCCACAAGTCCGCTCTGCGTGTATTGGCATGATCTCCGATACAGCAGGTTGCGAACATTTTCATCATACTGAAGAACCATACTTAGAAAGCTATTTGAAGTATACAAACCTCTCGCTTGCAGCTTCCTTGGCGCCCTGGCAGCTTCCCCTACACCACGCGTGCAGCCATGGTGTCTGAAATAACCGGCGCTGTCTGAAATAACCGGCGCTGTCTGAAATAACCGGCGCTGTCTGAAATAACCGGCGCTGTCTGAAATAACCGGCGCTGTCTGAAATAACCGGCGCTGTCTGAAATAACCGGCGCTGTCTGAAATAACCGGCGCTGTCTGAAATAACCGGCGCTGTCTGAAATAACCGGCGCTGTCTGAAATAACCGGCGCTGTCTGAAATAACCGGCGCTGTCTGAAATAACCGGCGCTGTCTGAAATAACCGGCGCTGTCTGAAATAACCGGCGCTGTCTGAAATAACCGGCGCTGTCTGAAATAACCGGCGCTGTCTGAAATAACCGGCGCTGTCTGAAATAACCGGCGCTGTCTGAAATAACCGGCGCTGTCTGAAATAACCGGCGCTGTCTGAAATAACCGGCGCTGTCTGAAATAACCGGCGCTGTCTGAAATAACCGGCGCTGTCTGAAATAACCGGCGCTGTCTGAAATAACCGGCGCTGTCTGAAATAACCGGCGCTGTCTGAAATAACCGGCGCTGTCTGAAATAACCGGCGCTGTCTGAAATAACCGGCGCTGTCTGAAATAACCGGCGCTGTCTGAAATAACCGGCGCTGTCTGAAATAACCGGCGCTGTCTGAAATAACCGGCGCTGTCTGAAATAACCGGCGCTGTCTGAAATAACCGGCGCTGTCTGAAATAACCGGCGCTGTCTGAAATAACCGGCGCTGTCTGAAATAACCGGCGCTGTCTAAACCCTAAACCCTAAACCCTAAACCCTAAACCCTAAACCCT